AAACCAGACAGAACGGGCCGACCGTACCTTACTGGTTGAGCGGGAACAGGAGGGCACCCCGACGGGGCGGCCTGGGGCAATCCAAGGCTGTGGAGTCCCCCCGTTGGTTGCCCCACGCCCTTCACAGTCCAACGAGCGTCTGGAGGCAGCCCCACAACAGCCCTACCTTTCACCATTCACTGCCTCCACTCACCATGCGTAGTCAGACAAGATGCATGCCTGACGCAATGTGCGTTGGCATGCCCGCAGCGATGTCGAGGGCTTCGAGCTCCATGCTCTCCGAGGCATGACCGCACTTCTTGCACTGGCGTCCGAGCGGCCACCAGCCTGGCTTGCGGTTGAATTCTTTCCGCAAATGCTGCGCGCGGCCGGGACTAGCCCAGTCGCGCTGCTACAAGCTCTCCAGGCGTCTGGCTTCGACTGCGGCAATGGCCTTGGACACCGGTCCTCGTTATCCAGTCTTGAACGATTTGTTCATGGCATACGCCCATCGCAGCACGTTGATTTGACGTGCCGGCATACTAGTCAGAGCCAAAAGCTCGCGCGCAGAAACGGCATTTAGGCATGATTTAGGCGCATCCAGCAATGGCGTAATCTGACACGCGGTGCAAGTCCGATCGTAGCCTACATTGAGCTACATACGAAACCCGGCGATCCACAAACAAGGCAACGGCCAACGCGCACAAAACGCAGTCTAAAACCAGTGGCGTACAGTACATCGGTAGCGTATTTACAGACAGGGTTGACTAGTACGAATGTGTAAGGTAAGGTAAGGTAAGGTCACCTTGTGACGACGGCGGAGCACGAGGAGGCAACGGAAACGCTACCAATGACGCGAACCGAGGCACGGGCGACGGCGGGGACGGGGAGGGCGACAGCGACGTCGAGGTTGACGCAACGGTATCGAGAGCGCCACCCAAAAGGAGCCGGACAGCCATGGAGGTCACCGAATGGAGGGCGAACGGCACAATACGAAAAGGCAGGGCAAGGCGGATGGAGAAAGAAGTGCCGAGGAGGCCATGGTGGAGGGGAGGGACGGGAGGACGAAAGAAGGGCGAGGAGGACGAGCGGCCCGCACAGGCCGCGAGCAGACAGCGCCTGCTGGCCATCTCGAGACATTCGCAAAGAACGCTAGCTACATGGGAGGGCTTCGTGAAGGATGGATTGAAAAACATTCGAACAAAGAAGAGGCGACGGGAGGAACCGGCAGAGGATGCAGTGACGTGACACACACACACACACACACACACACACACACACACACACACACACACACACACACACACACACACACACACCGCTCACCCACGCGCACCGGGCCTTGCACTTTAAATGCCGTGGGGCTCCTGTCGTTAGACGTGGAGACGCGAGGGTTGCCCCCCCTTGCCCCACCACCTCGTGTGTGTGGAGAAGTTTACCTTACCTTACCTTACCTTACCTTGTGACGGTGCCCTGGCAAAATCGTCCCGATTTCGATGCGCGATTTAGCTAAGTCCCAGAGCCGTTTACGCATGAGCGGGCCCCCTCACCAGCCTAGGGCTCGCGCTTCTGGCCCGAGGTGTCGCCGCTGCCTCCCGCGCCCTCCGGCGCCTGCTGCTACTGCCGGTCGGCCGGTCGGGTCCGCGCGACGGCTCCATCCTCGAGACGTAGCGGTCGCTGAGCGCTTTCTCGACCGCTACGTCTTCCAGTGCACCCACCCACCGCGACCCTCGAACCTGCGCTGCGCGGCGCAGTTGCTGCCGAGCGAGACGCCCCCGCCCGCGCAGGGGCGGCATCACCAGACGCTACCGCATGGCCGAGCAGCGAGCAGTGTGTGCCGCAGTGCCCGTCCGGGCCCTCTTGCAGCTGCCTCTATTGGGCGTAAACCGCGGATATAAGGGTCTATACGGAGGTGGGTGGCCTCTTAGAGGTATGGGAGCCGCTG